CCAGAATTCCTATCTTCATCCCAGTGTCAGTGAAGACAAAGATAAAACCAATCTACAGTTTCTGCAATAGCCATCACTGAACTGCTTGCAGAACTTGCCTGGACTATGTATCACTTGTATGCATTGTGAACTCACCTGTATGCATTGTGAACTATTTGTTGGTGCAGTGACTTGTGGTAGTGTTGGGGTATTTTTTTGATGATGTCATCAGTGGTACAATTTTCCCAAAAGGAGCCATTATATCTTCCTTCCTTCTGCTTGTCATGATCGTTCAGCTAAAATTTAGGGGCCAACAGAGGTGAGGCAAAAACCTCACCCCCTTGCTGGTACAAAGACCTATCCACAGGTGTGGCTGTATACTGGACCGGTAGTCAGTGATGGGTAAGATCCAATTGCAATCGTACCAACCTAAGACAGGAGGCTGACGCCTTGAGGTCAGCTCATCTGATAACAGGTAAGAACCATATGTAGAATTGGACAACCTAAGGCAGGCACAGTCTCTAAGCCAAAGGCTTGTTGTTTAAACAGAGAGGGGGAGATGTTGAGAGCCATAGCCGAAGGGGCCCCAGCAAACTTTCAGACTGCCAGTTGATGATTGGCTCACAGCGGCCCCAGCAACTTCTAGCTGATTGGCACCTCTGTGGTGATGCTCATTGACCTGTTTTCCCGCCCTTTCAGACAGCCAGCTGATGATTGGCTCACAGAGGCCCTAGCAACTTCTAGCTGATTGGCTCCTCTGCAGTGATGCTCATTGGGCTGTTTCTCTGCCCTTTCAGATAACGGAGCTGCTCATTGGTGGACTTTTTTGGCTCCACCCACGCAACCCAGTCAATCAGCCTCAAGAGCAGGAGGAGTGGGGGAGGTGGAGAGGCGTGTGGGAAGATGGTGGTGGCAGTTGGGCTCTGAAGGTTTTTCCTGAGGAGCTCTATTTTTTGGCGTGTGTGGTTCTAAAAATAAAGTTTGTTTCTTTTGACAAGTGCCTCCTGAATTGTGCCCAGCCAGACTGCGGCAGTTGCAGAACCAAGATCAATACTCAAAAATCAATACTATTTCTAGAATAAAGGTTACCAGAGCCTAGAAAGGGTATGGGAAGTGGGAAATAGAGAATGGATGGTTAACAGGTATAGGGTTCCAGGAGAGGAGGTAGATTTTCTAATGTTCTATAGAGATAACTATGGCTAACAAGAATTAATTGTTTCAGAATAGTTAATAAAGAAGATTTGGAATATTCCCAGCTCAAAGAAATGATAAATGTTTAAAGTGATAGAAATGTCAATTACCTTAGTCTGATAATTAAACATTATATACATGTATTGAAGTATCCCACTAACACATAAATATGTACAACTACTATGTGCCAATTAATATACATGTTAAAAACATTTATATATATATATATGTATATATATATACACATATATTTCTGTATAATACGAATGAACAATTGACTATGTGCCAATTAATATACATGTTAAAAACATTTATATATATATATATGTATATATATACACACATATATTTCTGTATAATACGAATGAACAATTGAATATTAACATTTTTTAAATTATTATTTATAATAGTACCAAAATCATGAAATATTTAAGTTTAAATCAAAAGTTCAAAGTATGAGAAAAGAATAAGATGGACTCATCAACATTATAGGATTTTGCTCTTCAAAATACAGTTTTAATAGCATGAAACACAATTTAGAAAGTCAGAACTTAAAACCAGCTTCTCTTCATACTGATAGAAATACTCCCCAATCAACCAAGTTCTGTTAAAAAGCAAACTTGCCAGAAAAAACAAACAACAACAACAAACACAACTTTTTAATCTCAGAATAAAGTCAGAATCTATTCTCTACAACCCAGGTTGTCATAACAGATTGATAGATCAGACTTCATTTTTTTGCATGGCAAATACAAAAAGCAAAAAACAATAGGAAAAATAATAGAACAAATGACCAAAAGAAAGAATTTGGCAAGTCTCACCATAGAGAGCTAATTCCTCTGTATACATAAAGAACTTCTGTAATTAAATAAGAAAAAGATCGACGGTGCAGCAGGAAAACAGACAAAACAAAAGGTACAAACAATTCCCAGGAATGGAAATAGAAATTATCTTGAACAAAGGCACTCAATTAGATAATTAATTACTAAAATATAATAATTACAAAATAAAATTAGTCTTTTCTATGCTGGCACTACAGTTTTAATTATTATAGCAAAAATTCCTCCCTAATTATTATAATTTAGCTATTCTTTTATGAGCAGGTGATAAAAGGACTTATAAGATTTTTAATATATGATAAATTTAATATTTTATTCCAGTAAAGAAAAGACAACTTGCACATAATAAATGGGGTTGGGATCACTGTTAGTCATTTGGGAAAAGCCGATGTAGAATTCTGCCTGACTGAAAACATCTCCGACTGGGCCCCACCTTACCATCAGCCCAGTGTGATTTTTAAAACAAGGCTACTAACTGCCACCTTCATGCACACATACACACCACACCTGCCTCCCATCTGGGAACAAAATGGTGATCAAGTTGTCTATGAAATAAGATTAAACATAGGCAGTTATTTTCCTCTTGACACATTTTTGTATATTTTCACATCATTTACAATGTGAATTTTATTTCATTTTTAATAATTGTTTCCCCTGATTATTTGACATCAGAAATAATACACATTCACTGTTTAAAAATTTAGAAAACACCAAAAAGTACTGAGAAGACAGTAAAAGTCATGCGTGATCACACCATCAAACACTAGAAGCCACATCGCTTCATCCAGGAGGACTTTTGACTCTGAATAGCAAGTAGTTTGCAGCCCCCTTCTGGGAGGGGGAAAAGATGGCTTGAGCTCTGTTTTGTCAGAGGCCAACTTGGATGTACACCATGCCATTAGAGCTGGACATGCCCAGAGGCACCAGAGATGACAGGAGCCCAGCCATTGCCCCTAAAGTCCAGGTTGTAGTCAAAGCAACTTTGCAAGCTGCAGGTGAACGCAAGGGTTAGGTCATCCTTTGAGTGCTGAGAATATATCCACACAGCATGCATGAAAAGCCCAGAAACTGCATGAGTTAAATATAAAAAAGCACAAGAAAGACATTTCTCAAATCAGTCTTTCACAATTTAAATGTGACATTATTAATAACATTCCCTCTTCAGCATCTGAGACACCTATGTTTACTAAGTTATTTTCCTCTTTCAAGTATAATGTGCTTTTTCCTAGGTTCCTAAGAGACTTGTAAAATAGGCCAAGATTTGTATTTTCCTTATTTTCATATGTACTTTCCAATAACGCTATTAACTGAGGACTTTAAGAAATATATATAAGATATGAGATGTAGTAATACACTATATAAGATAAACATGATGATGTCATCACTCTAAAAATAACGTGTAAAATTTGAAAAATAGATGGATGAATATTCCTCAAAATCAACATTTTCTTTGAAAGGCGAGATGATACATATTCTCAGGTTTTTCTGTATTTTCTACATTTTCTGTAATAATCACTTTCTATAGTAATCATTTTCTGTAATAATCATTTTTATAATTATAAAAATGAATTGATGCATGCACTTAAGATAAAGGAGAACCCAGGACAGACACCTGTGAGTGAGCAGCAGCCCTGACCATCTTGCACATAGAGGAAGGGTGGACTACTGGGAGGCAGCCTCCAAGGCCAAAGGGGCAAGACAGCAGGTTCTCGTTCTCCTGTGGTCGCTGAAACTTACCTGTCATTTCCAGAGAACATTCTGGCATATTCTTCCTTGACTTCCTCTAAGCTGCTTGCATTCCCATCATCCAGATTGAAGGATTCTATTAGGAAGTTGAGGCAAGAGTCACAAAGGAGAAAGTCAGACCTGTATTAAGTCTCTCCTGCCTTTCTGCTCCATGGTGGAGCTCTGAACCCTCCCAGGCTCAGTACTAGGGAGTCCAGAGGCCATTTTCCACCTCCCTTTCTGGGTGCAAAAGGGCAGCTCAGTACAAGTACTGACCACTTCTCTGACCTCTCAAGGTGAGGTCAGGTGCTCTCAGCAGCACCCCATTAGGGGATTCATCAAACCCCCCCAGTCTGGTGACCCCTGCCTGTCCAGCCACACTGCAAGCTCCCTAGGGGCAGAAACAACAACCTTAGTGATAACGAAGCACAGTGCCTGGCACACAGTGACCCTCAATAAATATCTATTGACTCAATGTGACCCAATCTCTCTCTGTTTTCAATAGAAAAATGGAGCCAGCCTTCTCCAGGGAGGGATCTGTTACCTTTCAGTTTCAGCAAGTTGTCCAGGGTTTGTTCCAGTTCCTGAATGTAATTCTTCGCCTTATTCAGAACCTGCCACTGAGGACAGAGACAGTGCTGGAAATATAACCTTTCACTGCAGAGACTGGTTTTGTGGACCCAGGTACCCCCTCCCTAGCCTAAGGCCACATTCATTTCTCTCAGATGCAAAGTTACATCTTTGGCCTTGATGGTGAAAAGATTGGAAAGTTTATTTCAGTGCACAGAAGGCACGAAATCTCCTTTGTATCCTAGAAATGAGTTCTCACTGAAATACCAAAGTATTTGGAAATGAGCTGCATTCAGCAAACTGAAGAAAGCAAGTGACTATACAGGCTACCAGAAGGTGGGATAAGGTGCCAGAGGAGGCACCACCAAATGAATAGATTTCTGCTTAGTTTTGACCATGTGCAACTGGCTGGTTAATATTACATTACTAATCTCACAACATGTGTTCACTAAATGCATACACTCCAGATGATCTAAAAACTTATCAAATGATCTATAAATTTGAACTTTGCATTTCCCCTTCCTTCTTTTGCTCCTTAATTTCTTTCCTTCATCCCTCTCTCCATCCAGCCCCTCCTCCCTCCTTATTTTCTTCCTTTCTTCCTTCCTTCCTTCCTTCCTTCCTTCCTTCCGTCCTTCCTTCCTTCCTTCCTCCCTTTCCTTCCTTCATTCTTTCCTGCTTTCCTTCCTTCTTTATTGTGTGTCAAAATAGAAACTGCAAGACCATTCAAAAGCAAGAAACCCTAAGTGTCGTTTGTGAGGCTGAGCATCCACATCTGCCATGGGTCATGGCCTCCCTCTGGTTACATAAGCCCAAAGCTGTGTGCTGGGCCCCAGGAAGGGTCAACAAAATGGTCCTGTCATCAAGGTGCTGACATTCTAACTGGGAAGGCAAGCATGGCAACAGCTCTCCTTAAAACAAGATGAAATTAAGAGATAACCACGGGTAGAAGCAAAGGGCTGTGGAAATACATAGGAAGGAGAGAATATTCTGACTGCAGGGGGAAAGCTTCCATGGAACAAGGCAGCAGAGTGAGCCAGACAGAGCTCTGGAGAGAACACAGTCTCAAAGGCACAAATAACTGTGTGAGTAAAGACAGAGGCAGGCCAGGCCAGCCTTGCTCAGGGCACTGCCACAGTGAGATGTGGCCAGAGTTGGGGTGGGCAGTGGGAGAGGAAGCTACAGAAGCTAGGGGGTGGCAGCCTGGGTTTTGTCATTCTAGATTCTTGGGGATTCTGATGGTGCATAAAAAGAGACTTAAGGGGAGCTGGAAGCATGATGCTTTGCTGACCCAAAGACCAGGTGACAGGAACGACACCTATGTGAGAGTACAGTTAATTACAAAACCTCTGAATACCTCTTGAGCAAGGCCCACCCCTTCTTCCTATCCACTGTTGTCCTAGTCTGACATGGCTATGGTGTCAAAGCAGCAAGGACTCAGAACGAGGGGCCAGAATCTTGGGTTTGTTCTTAGGGTGAGAAGGTGATTCCCCAGCTTCTATGGTTTAAATGTTTATGTTCCCCCGAACACATATGTTGGAAACCTGCCCCCCCCATGTGAGGGTAATAGGAGATGGGGTCTTCAGGAAGGTGCTTTCTTTCTTTTCTTTTCTGTCTTTCTTTCTTTTTCCTATTTTTATTGGTGTGTTATAATTATACATAATGGTAGGATTAACTGTGAATGTATTTGTTCATGCACATAATACATTAATATAATTTGGCCAATATCACTCCCCGGTATTTCGCCTTCCCTACAGTCCTTCCTTGGGGAGGTTCTTTATAGTAGAGGCCCTATTTGGATTAGTGCCCTAATAAAAGAGGCCTCAGAGTGTTTACTTGCTGCTTTTACTATGTGAACAAGGTGCCACCTGTGAGCCAGAGAGCTGGCCCTCTTCAGACACTGAATCTGTTGGTGTCTGGATTGTGGAAATTCCAATCTTCTCCAGAACTGTGAGCAGTAAATTTCTGTTAATAAATTATTCGGTCTAAGGTATTTTTCTATAGCAGCCTGAATAGACTCCAACTCTATTCCTCTGGTCCAGGATGAGTTGCCCACACTGGCTCAGTAGGACAAGTCAGGCCTGCTTGCACCCTTACTGCATCAAACCAATCCAGGGAAACAGTGTGCCATTCATAGAAATTCTGTTTCTAGAATGTTTTGGAAGTGCTAATTTTTGTAGAACCTTTGTTTGGGGTGGATTTATGTCCCCCCACCTCACGAAAGATGTTGAAGTCCTAACTCCCTGAAACTTATGCATGTGACCTTATTTGGAAACAGAGACTTTATAGAGTAACCAAGTTAAAATGAAGTCCTTAGATTGGGTCCCAATTCTGTATGACCCATGTCCTTACAAAAAGGAAAAAATGTGGACAAAGAGATAAACACACAGAGAAGGATGATGGTGTGAAGTTACTGGGGGAATGTGGCCATGTGGTCAGAATGATGCACCTGCAAGCCAAGCACTGCTGTCAAGTGCTAGAGGCTAGCAGAGGTAAAATGTTCTCCCTTAGAGCCTTCAGAGGGAGCATGGCCCTGTGAAACCTTGTCCTTGGACTTCCAGCATTGAGAGCCATAAGTCAATAAATTTCTCTTGTTTTAAGCTGCCCAGTTTCTGGTTATAGCAGCCTAGAGGACTCATGAGACCTTGTTACACCATTAGTCTTATAGAACAACAACTCCTTTGTTCATGCACAATCCTGGGCCTTCCCTCAAGTAAGATAAAGAAGAATAAGAGAACAGCTGAGTTCCAGATATTTTCCTGGCTGCATCATTTAGGCCAGTAATTTAATCTTCTGAAGTCTCAGTGTCCTGACCTGTACAATGAGAATGACAGGAATAGAGCTGTGGGGGATAAATAAGATAATATATTAGGGAAATAATGATTCTAACATTTTAAGGCTCTAAGAGCAATGCTGTGTTGGAGTATCCCATTAAACTCTATTCTAGGCCAATGAGGCAGCCATTACTATCCTCCCTATTTAATGGACATATTAACTAAAGGCCAGAAGTCACCTGCCTCCCATAACTGAGGCCAGTTAATAGCCATGCTCTCACATGCTAAGTCACGTGGCACAAATTTTAGGGGTATGGATGTGGTTTTCCTCTGGATTTACTTGACTTCTTACTGTGAGGTTCTGAAGGTCTATTTTTTTCTTTGTTCCTGCTGCCAACCTATGAGCACACCTCCATGGGCCTATGTTAGGAACTTAGGTTTTCATGCACCTCTGGAAGCACACAGCAAATGTCTCTTCATCCAATGGACATGAAGCTCAGCTATGCTGGTCAGGTTCTTGACAGAAAGGCCCAGATGTGCCATC